CATGTGTCTTTGTTGGTGAGATGTGTTTCTTGTAGGCAGCAAATAGATGGGTTTTCTTTTTCAATCCGTTCAGCCAGTCTGTGTCTTTTAACTGGAGAGTTGAGGCTATTTACACTCAAGGTGACTGTTGATTAGAAATGACTGTCTCTGCCATTTTTCCATAAATGTTTCTATTGTTTACTTTGGATTTCCTTTTTACTTTTACTGATACATTTTTTGCTTTCATCTTCTTTTCATACTGATGATCATATTTCTGTGTGTAGCACATCCTTAAGCATCTTCTGTTAGGCTGGATTTGTGACAAATTCTTTCAATTTCCATTTGATATAGAAGGCCTTTATTTCACGTTCATTGATAAATGAGTGCTTTACAGGGTACAGTATTCTGAGTTGGTAGTTTTTTTTTTTTTTTCTCTTTAGACTTGGAATGTATCTCATCATTGTCTCCTAGCCTGTAAGGCTTTTGATGAGAAGTCAGCTGTGAGTCTAATTGGAGATCCTCTGAAAGTAAGATGGTGTTTCTCTCATGCACATTTTAGAATCTTTTCTTTATGTTTCACTGTGGAGAGTTTTACTGCCAATGTGTTTTTGTGAATATCTTTTCTGGTCATGTCTGTTAGGAGTTATATTTGCTTTCTGTACTTAGACGTCCCTTTTTTTGCTCCAAATTAGTGAACTTTTCTGTAATTATTTCACTAAAAGTGCCTTCTAATCCGTTCTCTCTTTCCACACCTTTGGGAACTCCTAAGGCTCATATGTTAGGTTGTTTGATAGTATCCTATAGATCTGTAACACTGTTTTTTAGCTTTCTAATTTCTTCTTCTTCTTCTTCTTCTTCTTCTTCTTCTTCTTCTTCTTTTTGTCTGACTAAAATTTTCAGAGATCTGTCTTCTAACTTAGATATTCTTTATTCTGTTTCACAAAGTCTGTTGTTAAGCCTTTCAACCATGTTTTTTAAATTTGTTCTATTGAATTCTTTTTACCAGTATTTCATTTTGATTTCTCTTTAAGATCTCAACTTCATGGGAGTAATTTTCTGTCATGTCATGTATAGATTTTATTAGTTCATGGATTTGCTTCTAATTAGTTCTAGTAATCCTACAATCAATTTTTTGAATTCCATTTCTAGAGTTTCGGTAGTCCTTTCTTCTTCACATTCTAGTATTGAAGTGTTGTGTTCTTTTGGGAGCATCATGTTATCTCCTTTATTCTTTTTTCTTGAATTGCTGCATTTATTATTAGGTATTTTTGAAGATACTTGTTGGTTTCTTTGTTGTTTTGTTTTGTTTGGTGGCTTTTATCTTTGGACTATGCTTCTGTGGCCTAGTGGAGTGTCTTGTTTTTCACTGAATACCCCCAGGCGTGTGCTGGGTGTGGCTAGGGAGCTTTGCTCAGTGCTCCAGGGTAACGGGAGTGTCCGAGGCAACACCCAGGTTGGGCATGGTAAATCTCTCTCTCTTTTTTTAGTCAGAGGAAAGGTTTGTTCTGCTCTGTTGGTGTAGTCTCATGCTTACTTCCTCTCCTCAAAGGAGACCAGTGCCTGGGCATCAGCCCCAATGGGTACAGTATTTATCTGTGTTTCCACAAGAACCACACAAGGGATCTGTGCAGTCCTCCATATAAGCATGGATCCTGCAACAATGACCCTCACCAGGGAGTCAGGGAGCTCTGAGCATGTGTAGCCGCCTACAGTGTCTGCTCTCTCTCAGTCACACCCCATACCCTCCCATGCTGCTACAGTGTTTTCAAGTCCCAGCACACAAGCCTCCCACAGTCAAGAGCACCCAGCCCTCTAGCAAGTCCTCAGCCAGACTCAGGTGTCTCTGCTTAGCTGATTGCTGAGCTCGTACTCACGAACTGGCGCAGTTGTTACATATGCCCAAAATGGCACCCACCTTCTCTTGGCTTGTTTTAGGACACTAATGCAGGGTGGTTGTATACTCCCTGTTTTTCTCCTCTAGGTTGGCTGTTACGCTATCCCCCACAGGGTTCCAAGCCAGACTAATGCCAGGCTCTTCCTGCAGCTTTATTGCCAGTGGCTTGGGCTGCTGCAGTCTGGTCTCACTTCACTCTCCAAAGCTGATTGCTGAAGCTCTTAGCTGCTGGGGTCCTGAGTTGTGGGTGTCCACACCCTCCACGTAGGTCCACAGTGTCCTTCTGATTTGCGTGGATTTTCCTCTGCAGTTTTCTCCCTAACTCTTTCCTGATACTGCCCTCTCTCTACTGTTTTTAAAACTAGACTAGAGCAGTAAGCTTCCTCCCCATTCTGCCATCTTTGATCTTACTTTACTGAGTGCCAAAAATTAAACTGATAGTACTAGCCTTAAAACCTTTGGGGGGGGGCAGGTATAGAAAAATTGCAGACATAGAGGTGTTTGGTTTTTTTCTTTTTAGAGTTGTGTTTCTTTAGTGTCTTTTTGGGATAAATAAGATATACATACCGATAGTTTCAACTTGGGAATAGATGGATATCACTTTACCAACTTTGTATATAAAAATATCTTCATTGAAAAATGTCTTTTTCATAGCATATTCCATATTAGCTAAAAATCAACAATGTTGTTTTAAAAAAATTTTTTTTAATTTAGAAAGAGACAAAGAGAGCTCTCAAGAATTGGTTCCTTCCCAAATGCCTTCAGGGGCTGGGGCTGGGCCTAAGTGCTGGGGATATAATCCAGGTCTCCCACATGAGTGACAGGAATCCAATTACTTAAATCCTTGCTGCTGCCTTCTATGCTTTGGCAAGAAACTGGAGTCAGGAGCTGGAGCCAAGAACTGAACCCATCCCAACTGCTCAGCTAATTACTCACTTCAACAATACTCTTCTAAAATAAAAAATCTGTTTTTTATTTACCTTTCTGTTTTTATTCCTACTTGTGTAATTTTGTTAATGTTATATATTGGAATTTTTAGGAGATAGCTGGTTCACTAAAGGACTTGAAATTTGGGGAGGATTGAAATTTGTCTTTTTAGGAAGTAGCTTATGCCAATTGCTAGGAAGAGTTGCAGATTGGTGCCTCCTTACATGGGGCACCAAAATGTTAGGAAAAGAGTCGCAGAATAGAGAGGAGGCAGTGCACGAATTTACAGCCAGACCAAATTTATTCAGAGAAAATAAATCTGCAGAGTTGGATGATCAACTGCCTGCATGTACAAGATGGAGCATGTGGCAGAAGGCCCTGACCCCCAGGTGCTGGTCCTTTTTAAGGAGGGCTAGGGCTGGGGGTGGGGCTAGGGAGCAGCAGCAGTGGAGGGGAATTCCAGGAACTGGGCGGGAGCCTTGGGAACCTGGAAAATAACGCAGGGTGTGGTATGAAGGCAGTCAGGTGTGAGACCCTATTGAGTTTCAAGGGCAAGGAATACATTCCAAATTTTATCTCCTTTGGACAATGAGGGAGAATGGCTAAGGCTTATGTCTTTGTTCCATCACCAATAATTTGGCCATTTTTGAGACTCACTTAAATATTATGAGAAAAACATTTTTAGGAGTTGTTTTTTAACTTCCTATGATTAGCAATGTGTGTTATAGTGGTGTCTTATCTCAACAAAGAAGAATTCTAAGGTATAAAATATAAGTCCCATAGAAGCAGGAGGTGTCATTTCCCAAGTCACTCATGAAATTTCAGCATGTGTGTCAAGCTTAGCAATTGGAATAAATCATAGAGACGTTTCTTAGAAAACGTAGTTAGGTATATTGCATCCTGCTGTGATCTCTTAATAATGTTTAGTTAATCTTATTTGTCAGAATTGTTGATGTGTTGACTTCTGTAAAATTACTAATATCTGGAAAATAGTGTACACAAAGTTTACTTATTAACTTTATTTTCAGATATAACTATTGATTTGCCTTTTTTCAAAGATTATTTGTTTGAAAGGTAGAGTTACAGAGAGAAAGAGACAGAGACCTTCTATCTGCTGATTTACTCCCCAAATGGCCACAATGACTGGGGCTGGGCCACGCTGAAGCCAGGACAGGCGCTTCTAGGTCTCCCATATGGGTGTGGGACGAAGCACTTGGGGTATCCTCCGCTCCTTCCCAAGGCACTTTAGGAGGGAACTAGATTGGAAGTGGCCAGGACTCGAACTGGTGACCAAATGGGATGCTGCAGACCATGGTTTAAACTTGCTGTGCCACAGTGTCAGCCTGATTTGCTTTCTTTCATAACCAAGAGATTTTTCAGTTGTGTGTCTTGGGGTATACTTTTGAAATTAATTAGTCATTTTATAATATCAACTTTAGGGTATAATCCAAATTCCATAAACAACGATTCAAGTCATGTTTGTTTTTCTAATCTTTCCAATTTAATTATTATTTTTTGCAAGCTTTTTACTCCTACTAGTCATAACAGTTTTCTCCCCAGTTTGTTTCCCAAATATAAACTGTTCTTGCACTTGAATGCGTTTTTCTTTTTCTTTTCTTCTCTTTTTAACCTAGACCCTAGTTAGAGTTGCTTTTGTTTGCCTTTACGATTTATGGCACTGGGGGCCATTTATATTTAATTCTGCACAGGCAAAATTAGGAGCTCTGCCTTTTGTTCTGTTGTCATACTATATCCCCATCTATTCTAATAAAAAATAATAGTCATTTTCATGTTTTTCTCTAACAGAAGACTTGTGATCAACTTGACAACTAGTATTGGGTCTTAATGATTTCTACCCCTATTGAAGAATAGGTGTATAAATTATTTTCTAAGTGAGCAAAGAATAATATGCTAGAAAAATTAGTCACAAATGGAATCTGAAATCATTTTGGAAAAGAAATTTTCAAGAGCAAAATTGATATTCTTTTCTTTCCAGGGCAGAAAGCAAGTTGGGTACATTGTTCTTAGAAACCTCAGCATCCTTTGACTTTCAGTTTTCTATGTAAGCTTTATTAATTTGTAGTCACATTATTTTTGCTTAAAATCTGTCAGTGAAATTTCTGAAGGAACTTAAACCACTTTTAAGTAAAATTTCATGTGTTTTTATACATTCTAATTTAATTTTTTGTTTTTATTTTAGGAAATACTCCTTTACATCTTGCTGTGATGTTAGGAAACAAAGGTTAGTAAATAATGTCTTCTTTATGTTTAACTTCACTCATGTACAAGCATAATCAGCTTAAACATGTTAAGATCAATTTTGTCTTTTGAGTGTTTAAAAATTAGCCTTATTATATGATGCTGATCAAACAGGATTCAATATATTAAAATTAATAAAGATTATTTCATTTTCCATAGCCCTTTTTAAGAAGTTAGAAGAAATGCTGTATATTGTGTTTTTTGAAACCATATTTTTCCCCTTGATTGTTTTATCAAGCTGATATTTATAATTTCAGAAAACTCTTCCATATATTAAGGTTTAATAATTATTGTGTACTTTTAATATTAAAACAGTTATATAAGATTTTTAATATGGAATATTTTATATCTGAACTCACAAGTCAAGCCTTTTTTTAAAAAAGATTTATTTATTTATTTATTTGGAAATCAGAGTTACACAGAGAGAGAAGGAGAGGCAGAGAGAGAGAGGTCTTCCATCTGCTGGTTCACTCCCCAATCAGCCACAACAGCCAGAGCTGCACCAATCCGAAGCCAGGAGCCAGAAGCCAGGAGCTTTGGATGCAGGGGCCCAAAGACTTGGCCCATCTTCTACTCTTTCCCAGACCATAGCAGAGAGCTGGATCAGAAGTGGAGCAGTCAGGACTCGAACTGGTGGTGCACATATGGGATGCTGGCACTGCATGCGGTGGCTCACCCCACAAATGGCCGCTACGGCTGGCCGTGCTGAGCTGATCCGAAGCGAGGAGCCAGGTGCCTTGTCCCAGTCTCCCATGCAGGTGCAGGGCCCAAGCACTTGGGCCATCCTCCACTGCCCTCCCAGACCACAGCAAAGAGCTGGACTGGAAGAGGAGCAACGGGGACAGAATCCGGTGCCCCAACCGGGACCAGAACCCGGGGCTCCGGCACCCCAACCGGGATCAGAATCCGGGGCGCTGGCCCCGAAGGCGGAGGATTAGCCTAGTGAGCCGCGGTGCCGGCCAAGTCAAGCCTTTTGTAATGGTAGATAGTTGTAAAATCTTGGTCTTGTTTATTCATTTAATTAAAAAAAAACACGCATAGGCAACTGATTTTAAACAAATCGATTTTTGTAGATTATTCCTAAATGTAATACAGTTTTGGTTGTCTGAATTCCCAGTTATTCTGAAAAGTAGATTTCAGATAGCTGATTTGCAACTCTTCGAGTACTAAATTTTTAAATTTTAAATCTGCTTGATAAAAATCTTTCCAAAATATATACTCTTATACTCTTTTTTTTAAAGATTGATTTTTAAATTTATTTGAAAGGCAGAGTTACAGAGAGAGGAGGATAGACAGAGAGATCTTCTATCTGCTGGCCCACTCCCCAAAATGGGCCCCATTGGCCAGAGCTAGGCCAGGCCAAAAACAGAAGCCCAGAGCTTTCTCTGGGTCTCCCACCTGAATACAGGGGCCTAAGAACTTGGGCCATCCTCCGCTGTTTTCCCAGGCACATTAGCAGGGAGCTGGAAGGAAAATGGAGCAGCCAGGTCTTAAACAAGAGCCCATATGGGATGCTGTCATTTCAGGTGGAGGCTTAACTTGCTATGCCACAATGCCTACCCCTCATGTACTTTATGTTAAACAGGCTAGTGCATTTCTGTTAACTTAACTCTTTCCTTCCCTTCCCTTCTTCCTCTTTCTTTTTCTCCCTCTCCCTCCCCCCTCTCTCTTTCTTTCTTTCTCTCTTTCTTTCTTTCCTTCCCTTCCTTCCTTCCTTCCTTCCTTCCTTCCTTCCTTCCTTCCTTCCTTCCTTCCTTCCTTCCTTCCTTCCTTCCTTCCTTCCTTCCTTCCTTCCTCCTTTTCTCCCTTAATCCCTTTTCCCTCTTTCTTTCCCTCCCTCCCTTCCTTCCTCCTCCTCTCCTCCAGTCTCCCCTCCCCTCTCTTCCCCTCTCCTCTCCTCCCCTCTCCCCTCCCCTCCTCTCCTCCCCTCTCCCCTCCCCTCTCTTCCCCTCTCCTCTCCTCTCCTCTCCCCTCCTCTCCTCCCCTCTCCCCTCCCCTCTCTTCCCCTCTCCTCTCCTCTCCCCTCCTCTCCTCCCCTCTCCCCTCCCCTCTCTTCCCCTCTCCTCTCCTCTCCTCTCCCCTCCTCTCCTCCCCTCTCCCCTCCCCTCTTCTCCTCTCCTCTCCTCTCCTCTCCTCTCCCCTCCCCTCCCCTCCTCTCTCTTCTCCTCTCCTCTCCTCTCCTCTCCTCTCCTCTCCCCTCCCCTCCCCTCCCCTCCCTTCTCCTCTCCTCTCCCCTCCCCTCCCCTCCCCTCCCTTCTCCTTTCCTCTCCTCTTCTCTCCTCTCCTCTCCTCTCCCCTCCTCTCCCCTCCCCTCCCCTCCCTTCTCCTCTCCCCTCCCCTCCCTTCTCCTCTCCCCTCCCCTCCCCTCCCTTCTCCTCTCCTCTCCTCTTCTCTCCTCTCCTCTCCTCTCCCCTCCTCTCCCCTCCCCTCCCCTCCCTTCTCCTCTCCTCTCCCCTCCTCTCCCCTCCCCTCCCCCCTCCCCTCCCCTCTCTTCTCCTCTCCTCTCCTCTCCTCTCCCTTCCCCTCCCCTCCCTTCTCCTCTCCTCTCCTCTTCCCCTCCCCTCCCCTCCTCTCCTCCCCCCTCCCCTCCCCTCTCTTCTCCTCTCCTCTCCTCTCCTCTCCTCTCCTCTCCTCTCCTCTCCTCTCCCCTCCCCTCCCCTCCCTTCTCCTCTCCCCTCCCCTCCCCTCCCCTCCCTTCTCCTCTCCTCCCCTCTCCCCTCCTCTCCCCTCCCCTCCTCTCCTCCCCTCTCCCCTCCTCTTCTCCCCTCTCCTCTCCTCTCCTCCCCTCTCCCCTCCCCTCCCCTCCCCTCTCGTCTCCTCTCCTTTCACCTCCTCTCCTCTCCCCTCCTCCTCCCCTCTCCCCTCCCCTCTCCTTTCCTCTCCTCTCCTCTCCTTTCTTTCTCTCTCTATCTCTTTCTCTCTTTCTTCCTTTTTCTCTATTTCTTCTTTTCTATTCTTTCTCTCTCTCTTTCTTATTTTTCTTTTTCTTTCGTATTCAAGCCTCCTTTACCAGAATAGTTGTCTTTCTTTTTTCCTTAAGATTTATTTGCTTATTTGAAGTGCAAAGTTACTGAGAATGAGAGAGATAGAGATGTACAGAGATCTTCCATCCTCTGGTTCACTCCCCAAATGGCTTCAACCACCAGCACTGGGCCAGGGTGAAAGCAGGTGCCAGTATCTCCATCAAGGTCTCCCATGTGAATGGGCCCAAGCACTTGGGCCATCTTCTACTGCTTTCCCAGGTGCATTAGCAAGGAGCTAGATCCAAAGTGGAACAGCCAGGACTCAAACCGGAACCCCTATGGGATGTTGGCATTGCAAGAGGTGGCTTAACCTGCTATGTCACAATGCCAGCCCCTCTGTTAATGTTTCTTTCCAATGATTTAGAAATATCACTATGTACAACTCTTATTGTATATAGTGTAGCAGAGTTGTCAGTTTAAACATTTGATCTGAATGTGTGATGACCCAGGGATGTTACTTAAACTTGTTTTGTTATTCTGCTGTTTCAGTTTTTAAGTTTACACGCTTGAGTGACACATTTGCTCTGCAGGATACTTTGGTTTATATTTTAATTTTGTGTGACTAGTGACTCCAATCTTTATAGTTATGATTTTTTTACTCTTACAAGGTATAGACTTAATTTAGAGATTCTCAGAAAAGAGGAATTCATTAAGAGACTTCATATTGTAGAAACTTAAGAAATAATGACAACCAGCTCAGGAAGAGCAGAAATCCAAGATATTAGGCAGATAAGTTTTTTTCCTACTTACCTATTAGTTGTCTTTTATGGTGTGTCTACTATCCTGTACATATCGTCCTTTTCTTTGTTGTCTTTTTCTGTTTGCTAAAGGTGAATATGACCTAAAATAACTCTTCTGATTCCATAAGTCTGACTTTCTTGTTTTAGTGTTCACCATCAATTGGCTCAGTTTCTTTCCTCTTCTCCTTTTCTTTCTCCTTCTCTTCTTCCTTCTTCTTTTTTTTTAAGATTTATTTATTATTTTAAAGCAGTGTGACAGTGACAGAGAAAAGGAGAGACAGAGAAATCTTCCATCCACTGATTCATTTCCTAAATGACCAAAACAGCCAGGGCTGGGCCAAGTTAAGCCAGGAGTCTAGAACTCCATTCTGGTCTCCCGTATAGGGACCAAGAGCATTAACAAGAAACTGGATTAGAAATTTAGAGTAGCCAGGACTGGAACCAGCATTCTGATATGGGATTCAGGCTTCCCAAATGGTGGCTTAACCTACTGTGTCACAGTCTCCTCATTCAGTTTCTTAAGTTTCCAAATTTCTAAACAAAGTGATTTATTGGCCCAGTTCATCTCTAAGAAAGCCACAAGTGTGAAGTGTTGGTAAGCCCATGAATTATATGATTTTGACAGATATTTGCCTCTGTGAAATTAACTTTGGCTAAGCTGATTTGGGGGTGAGAATTTGGGGTTGTAAAGGACTCAGGAGTGCAGAGAAAGTATGCTTAATTCAGCAGGAAGATGGGCAGGAAAGGCCATATACATCTCTAGTAAATCTACCTTATGCTTGGGTCTGCTTTTTTGCCTACTAGTTGAGATGACTGTGTCCCATATTGGAGTATGTTAGTTTGATTTCTGGCTCTGTTCCCAATTCCAGCTTCTTGAATTGCAGACCGTGGAGGGCAAGTGGTGGTGATGCAAGCAGTTGATTTCCTGCCCACTGATATGAGAGACCAAGAGTGTGATCCTGGCCCTGGCCTTAGCTGTTACAGACATCTGGGGACTGATCCCATTGTGAAAGCTCCCTTTCTGTCTATATCTCCTTCTCTGTCTCTCTGCCTCTCAAAAACAAAAACAAACAAACAAAAAACACAAACTTTTTTTTTTTCATTTTTTTCAAAGAATACTGAATCAAAACTTTAGAAAATAATTAAAACATGATGATTATTTACAATGTGCTGGGCATCTTTCCTACTACTATATTTATATTTCTTCATTTAATCATTAC